TCTAAATCAGAAATGAAAGAATTAAATTAAATTTAATAAAAATAATTGATTAACAGTAAATCATCCAAGGTTAGGACTTTCGAGAAGCTGAAAGAATTTCTTGAGAAAGTAAACGAAGTGAGTGGATGCATCGAGATGCAGACGGGAGAAATTTTCGATCCCATGATCGATAGGGGGATGGACAATCGACCTCTGGGATTCCACGATTCAATTAAACGCACGATTACTCGGCAAATGCAATTAATTTTAATTAACGATGCGAATCGAATCACAGGCACTGAAACGCGTATGTGTGCGTACGTGTGAAACAGACCTCTTTGAACTTTACACGATCTCATTGGTCGAATCACGCGATGCAACTTTTGCCAGGGTTATCTCGTCGGCTTTCGTGATGAACGCTTGCGATTCCGATAAAGCAAGGTTTTCCATCGTTCTGGAGGAAGTCGAAGTGACCAAACTTTCAATTAAGATCCAGTCTACGTTTGAATTGGGTGTTCTTTTTATTGCAGGATCGACGAATCGTGGGTTTCTATATCGGATGGAATGTGGATAAGTATTGAGATTGGATGAGGGGATGTTTGAAACGAGTATTTGGTAATTATTGATGTTTGACGTATTTATTTAAATTATAAATAATTGTAATATTACTATTTTAGGTTACGATATTATTAATGATACTATTATAGGATTTATTAATACAATGGTAATAATATTAATATTACAGAAATTTATTAATATAATATTATTAGAAGTATTGCTACACAATTTTACTATGATAAATATTAATGATTGTGCAGTTTCATTAATACTACCAATATTACTATATAAAATTTTACTAATGCACTCGATTAAGATTGAGCTTAAGTTTGAATTAAGTGTTCCTTTTACTGCAGGATCGACGAATGGTTTCTATGGTTTCTATGTTGGATGGAATGTAGATAGGTGCTGAGATTGGAGGAGTGATGTTTGAATGTCTATTTGGTAATTATTGATGTCTGATGTATTTATTTAAATTATAAATAATTGCAATATTGGTATTTTAGGTTACGATATTATTAATGATACTATTATAGGATTTATTAATACAGTGGTAATAATATTAATATTACAGAATTTTATTAATACAATATTACTAATGGTATAGTTATATAATTTTACTAATATAAATATTAATGTTTGTACAGTTTTACTAATGCTAGCCATATTACTATATAAAATTTTACAAATGCACTCAATTAATTTACGAATCGTGGGTTTCTATATCGGATGGAATGTAGATAAGTATTGAGATTGGATGAGGGATGTTTGAAACGACTATTTGGTAATTATTGATGTTTGATGTATTTATTTAAATTATAAATAATTGTAATATTGCTATTTTAGGTTACGATATTATTAATGATACTATTATAGAATTTTATCAATACAATGATAATAATATTAATATTACAGAATTTTATTAATACAATATTACTAATATAAATATTAATCTTATAATAGTAATATTAGTAGTACTGTATTAGTGAAACTGTGCAAACGTTATTAAGATTTTACTAATGCAATATTTTTATAATATTAGTATTGTATGAAATTGCTGTTGCAATATTATTGTTAATTATTAATACTACTTTATGTCATATAATATTAATATTACTGTTATATAATACTGCAGTGTTTCTACAATATATTACAGTATTATTAATATCACTATTATATAATGCTACTATTACAATATTATTGATACTACTATATAAGACTAGTATTAGAATATTATTAATATTACTTCCAAAATATAATGTTACTATTATAATACTATTTTTATTATTACTTATAATATTTATAACAGTAATTGTATAGAAAAAGGTGGGATAAAATTAAGTACATAATTAACACTGTTGTACTATTATTTTTCTGTAATAAAAGCTGTGACATGCAGTCAAAGCGAGGTGTTAATTTCTGAACAATACGAAACCAATGAAAAATCAGAATGTTCATTCTCCTACCGCATAATTTTGCAAATTTCTAGTATAAAAGTCAAAGTATTGTGTTTATTAACACTTTGCAATCGAGAGGCGACCGTCAGTCACCATTAGATAAAATTTCGAAGATCGATATTAATTAATTTGTCAAATTTAAGATAATGTAACGGTGTGCGAGCTATGAAAATCAAATAATTCTACGTGTTAATTATTATGCGATTTTTTATTTATTACTAAAAGAAATATCGCTACTCATTTTTAGCCAAAAGATCGTCGAGTGCAGATGGTTAATCGACTATATCTGTTTTAATGACCACAATTTTAAAAATCTATTACTACGTATTAATAAAGATACACGTAATATATACATAATGTTAATAAGGATGCACATAATAATAAGTAAGGATGCACATAATAAGGAGTCCATCACAGAAAAATTTGCTACAGAAACAAGTCACTTTTACTAAGTATGTCCTTCATTTGTTTCCGACGCCATGGTCACACATTGCTTAAGAATTATTGAGAATTATCTATGAAAAGCTGACTATGTAAATAAACATTTTTCTTCGAAGATTTTATGTATTCACGTTCCATATAATTACAGTAGAATAAATGTTAAAGGGACATTTTAATGCTTGATCATAGCACTATTTATTAAAACAGTACTTCTTTATACACGAATAATTTTATTTTTAATAATTGTATTTTATAATTGTATTTTGAATATTTTAGCATTTCCTGTGATCTTTATTTGGTATTAAAATATATAAATATTCAACATGTGAAATGTAATTCATGTGATTTTATAGTATGTCTACTCTAATTTAGGTAAATACTTTTTAATTTTTATTTGCTTCTTCAATTATTGCGAAAAAGATTTTTGATTAAATTTAATTTCCTGTAACACAGATTGCTGTGTCGATCATCAACCTATTAAAAAGTAAATCAAGTAACAGATAATTAAACAAATAATATGCAACTTAATATAAGTCAACTTTCCTTAAAATTCATTAAAATAACTTGTTTCATTAGTATTTCGTTAATAGACATACAGATTTTCTAATGTTACTGAATTTTATATGGTTATAAATGTACGCATGTACATATACACGTAATATTTATGGTATTGGTTCCGAATACCGAACAAGAAAATTGACATGATTTTAAACAGACACAGTAATATTACAATTATTTGCTACCATAGAATAATATAATAATTATAACATTAAAATATGAAATTTCTACAGAAATATGATAAACGTTACTTCTTAAAATGTAATAATCATATAACTTCTGTTGCTAACATTTCACCATAATAACTTCATCGACAGAAACCACAAATCACAAAGAAGCCTCAAAATAATAAGAAATAAAAACAAAAATAATATAACAAACTATAATAGATATAACTTTTAAAAATATAATAACCATACAATTCCTATTCTCAACATCACACAAAACATAACGCCATAGTAACTTTGTCAACAGCATAACAAATCACAAATAAGACCCAATATTACAAAAATGGAAGATACAGATAGTATAATTAAGTATAATAAATATGAAAATATTTAACTTCTAAAAATATAATAATTACACAATTTCTTCTCTCAACATCACACATAACATAACACCATAGTAACATTGTCAACAGCATAACAAATTACAAACAAGACCCAATATTATAAAAATTGAAAATATAGAAAGTATAATTAAGTATAATAAATATGAAAATATTTAACTTCCAAAAATATAATAATTACACAATTTCTACTCTTAATATTATACTTAACACAACTCTACAGCTGCCACCATATACGACATATACGACATTACATTATTACAATATAATAATGCAATAACTATAATATTAAAATACAAAAAGGTATAATAAAATATAATATTCAAACAATATTAAGATACTTAACCAACACTACAACCAACCAACACCTCTTCCAAAGCCACGAAAATCATCATCCACTGACACACAATTAACATTTCCTTCCAAAAATTCCAACAAACGAGCAACTCTGTTTCCACCAATTTCACCCACATCCCTCACCAGCCGGTGAGCCGAAGCTGCAGCAGCCATTTCTATTTTCGATCAGCTGAACGCGAAGTCGGTCCATTAACGAACTTCATCCAAGGCAAATAAACATCAGCGAAACGAACGATAAATCGTGTATATACCTATAACCAAAGCGGGCTAATTCGCAGGAACGAAGTGAGAAGAATGCTGGAAAAGTATGGAAAAATTGAGCCGGAAATAGCAAGGAATAACCAGCGACGAATCCGATTGGAAATGGAGGATCTTATCGCGCAAGGATCATAATCGATTAAGCGTCGTTACATATTTCGTTTAGCTACCGATCCTTCCTCCGCCGGTCGGACATCAAAGGAGCGAGGAGAAAACGCGTGGAGAGCATAGCTGGACAGGCCTGCGCCCGTGAAGGAAAGGAGAAGGTCGGGCGGAGTCATGGAAAAGACCACCTCCGCCTTCAGGGGGTCACCTTCGAGGTGACCAATGCACCGCTCGACTAGAGCCATCAAGGTGCTCTTGGACCCAGATGTTCCCTCCTCGACAGGGCCCCGGAACGAAGGCGGAGCCTTCTTTGCCCTCCGTGTTACCGGCCTTTCTTTTCCTTTCTTTTCCCTCAGCCTCCTTTGCCGCCAGCCTCCGACCGAATCGGCAGCCGAACAGTTCGAGCCGAGACCCCGAAGCAAACAGGTCTCACGATCCGTTTCACCAAAAAAAGTCCGTTCTTCCCCTCGTCCCAGCGCACACAGACCCCCGTTCCGCGACCAACGGTAGCCCGATTCGTTCTAGGGGACATCTCGAGCTCGCTCCTTCGCCGCCGCGGAAGCATCGTTGCGTTCGTTCCAGTGTTGTGATCAAGGGAACTCTGTTCAGAGGGTGGTAAGCAAGAGGACCTTTCAAGCTGGTTACCGTTCTCGGTTCATCTCCACGCCCGGTTGTGCTGGCTCCGTGATTCTACGTCCTGGACAACGGCTAGCAGCTAGATGGCAGTCAGCACCCTGAACATGGCACCGTATTTCACTGGATATCCTTTTCAAGGTAGGTCAGAGTGAGCATCTCTTCTGAGTTATAACCCTCCCGTAACCATCATCGGAATCTTAGGTCTAGATATGGTTCTGAGGGTAGTATAGTATAGCAATTCGTGTCGTAGTGTCACCTCAGCTGTCTTTGAGGTAGCCAATGTTTTCAAGTTTGCGAGCTTGGGAAAAATTTTTCTTGGATGTAGAGTGAAGAAGAATGGAAGTTTGGGTCTAGATACGGTTGTGAGGGTAGTATAGTGTAGCAATTAATTGTCTTCTGCAAATTCTTACTCCAAGTGTCGTGTTTCCTCAGCTGACTTTGAGGCAGCGAATGTTTTGTTTCCGAGTTTGCGAGCTTGGGATGAATTTTTCTTGGATGTAGAGTGAAGAAAAATGGAAGTTTAGGTCTAGATATGATTGTGAGGGTAGTATAGTATAGCAATTCGTGTCGTAGTGTTGCCTCAGCTGTCTTTGAGGTAGCCAATGTTTTCGAGTTTGCGAGCTTGGGAAAAATCTTTCTTGGATGTAGAGTGAAGAAGAATGGAAGTTTGGGTCTAGATACGGTTGTGAGGGTAGTATAGTGTAGCAATTAATTGTCTTTTGAAAATTCTTACTCGGAGTGTCGTGTTTCCTCAGCTGACTTTGAGGCAGCGAATGTTTTGTTTCCGAGTTTGCGAGCTTGGGATGAATTTTTCTTGGATGTAGAGTGAAGAAAAATGGAAGTTTGGGTCTAGATATGATTGTGAGGGTAGTATAGTCTAGCAATTAACTGTGTTTTGAAAATTCTTACTTGGAGTGTTGTGTTTCCTCAGCTGTCTTTGAGGTAGCCAATGTTTTCGAGTTTACGAGTTTGGGAAAAATCTTTCTTGGATATGAAATGAAGAAAATTGGAATTTTAGGTCTAGCTATGGTTGTGAGGGTAGTATAGTCTAGCAGTTAACTGTCTTTTGAAAATTCTTACTTGGAGTGTCGTGTTTCCTCAGCTGACTATAAGGTAGCCAATGTTTTCGAGTTTGCGAGCTTGGGAAAAGTCTTTCTTTGATGTAAAGTGAAGAAAAATGGAATTTTGGGTCTAGATATGGTTGTGAGGGTAGTATAATGTAGTAATTTATTGCGAGGAATACAGAAAATTTGTAGGATCTTGCTTATTGACACGAGATGACTGTTAGGTGACTGTTCTTGTGTGACTGATAGAATTGAGTTTTGAGATTGAAAGCGAACAATAGTTTATTGACGAATGGAAAATAGGAAACTGGAGGAAATGATGAATTGTGAGCTGTTTTTGAGAGACTTCTTCTGGATCTGTAGTTGTGAATATAGTTGTCTGTCTCTCAATTTTGAAATCGAATATTTATAACGTGATACCTGGGATCTTGGTCATTGATTAATTGATGTTCAAGTGTTATTATGTTCCGAGTGTTATTTCGAGTAAACATTATTCCAGTTTATTAGCTCATCGAGAGGCAGTAGTTTTGATAGACGCGTCTATACTGTGCGCTTTATGGCACTTCGTGCACTTCCGTTTTCTGTTGGAACCGTCGCTAAACTCGCGAGGCTGAGGCCGTCCGACGTCAGCGGAAACGAAAGGATTTCTACTTGTCAGAACCGCAGAATACCATTTCATTCGCGATATGAGAACAAAAATATTTATTCCATAATTCCATGCAAAATTATACCACGAATATTTAAAAAGAAAAAATTATTCGCAATTTTTTCCGTGATATATTACCAATTTTAAACAACCTTCTTTTAAATCACTATAATTTGGCTTAAAATATATCATATATTTAAATAAAATTTTTATTTAAGCTTTTAAAGTCCATTTATAAATTTACAAGATATTTTGTGATTATTATTTATTATAAAAGTGAGACAGTTTGTACGTATTTTATTACTCGAATATATACACTGTAAATAAAATACATACAAACATTGTATCGAACGTTGATTGGAATAATGAAAATTATAATAATCGGTTATTTATTGTAATAATTTTTTGTTAGAAAGGTGTTTAAAGTTTGTGTAAAAGTAGCGAGCAAAGATTGATGGGATCGGAGATCTGTCATTTATTTAGCATCGAATATTCGTTATAAATTATTTAATGATTTAGCATTGAATAATTTGCCATAAACGATTTAGCATAAAAAGCATATCGGTGTATGCAACATGGGGATACGATGAAAGTGCCGTCGCTTATCGTTCTGTTCACCTTCATTCATCATGATCGGCATGTATCCCGCATGGTCCGACGCATAAGAACTTAATTTATGTGATAACATAATAACAGTAGGAACGAATGTTAAAAACGTTTTATCGCGCGGTATATGAATTACGATTTCTTTCGTGTAACTGCGATTTAATACTTTGTAAATTTTCCACATTGCAAACACAGTCCTTCGACGTGTATAAATATCCAACACGCGAAAAAGCACTATTTCACTGCTTTGTAATAACCGAGTTGCCTGTAATTTTAGTTCGTAAAAGTTGTTAATAAAATTACATGCACTGATATAAAATATTTAATTTCCTTAATTACACTTTTGCTTTTTTCTGCATTTAACTCTAATTCATTGACGTAGGCATCGATACACCATGGTACGTGATTGAGTTATTTAATTTTTGTTTAGTAGAAATAATTATTTTAAGAGGCGAGCAAAAATTTGCGAATTATTATTATCGCGAATTTAAATGATTTTAATTTAAGAATGGAAATGGAGATTTTATTTAAGGACGTTGAACGAAAAGTTGTTGGAGGGTTTATTGAACTATTTTTGTATCAAAAATTGCAAATGGTGAATTGCAAGGTCTAGATATGATTGTGAGGGTAGTATAGTATAGCAATTCGTGTCGTAGTGTTGCCTCAGCTGTCTTTGAGGTAGCCAATGTTTTCGAGTTTGCGAGCTTGGGAAAAATCTTTCTTGGATGTAGAGTGAAGAAGAATGGAAGTTTGGGTCTAGATACGGTTGTGAGGGTAGTATAGTGTAGCAATTAATTGTCTTTTGAAAATTCTTACTCGGAGTGTCGTGTTTCCTCAGCTGACTTTGAGGCAGCGAATGTTTTGTTTCCGAGTTTGCGAGCTTGATAAAATTTTTATTTAAGCTTTTAAAGTCCATTTATAAATTTACAAGATATTTTGTGATTATTATTTATTATAAAAGTGAGACAGTTTGTACGTATTTTATTACTCGAATATATACACTGTAAATAAAATACATACAAACATTGTATCGAACGTTGATTGGAATAATGAAAATTATAATAATCGGTTATTTATTGTAATAATTTTTTGTTAGAAAGGTGTTTAAAGTTTGTGTAAAAGTAGCGAGCAAAGATTGATGGGATCGGAGATCTGTCATTTATTTAGCATCGAATATTCGTTATAAATTATTTAATGATTTAGCATTGAATAATTTGCCATAAACGATTTAGCATAAAAAGCATATCGGTGTATGCAACATGGGGATACGATGAAAGTGCCGTCGCTTATCGTTCTGTTCACCTTCATTCATCATGATCGGCATGTATCCCGCATGGTCCGACGCATAAGAACTTAATTTATGTGATAACATAATAACAGTAGGAACGAATGTTAAAAACGTTTTATCGCGCGGTATATGAATTACGATTTCTTTCGTGTAACTGCGATTTAATACTTTGTAAATTTTCCACATTGCAAACACAGTCCTTCGACGTGTATAAATATCCAACACGCGAAAAAGCACTATTTCACTGCTTTGTAATAACCGAGTTGCCTGTAATTTTAGTTCGTAAAAGTTGTTAATAAAATTACATGCACTGATATAAAATATTTAATTTCCTTAATTACACTTTTGCTTTTTTCTGCATTTAACTCTAATTCATTGACGTAGGCATCGATACACCATGGTACGTGATTGAGTTATTTAATTTTTGTTTAGTAGAAATAATTATTTTAAGAGGCGAGCAAAAATTTGCGAATTATTATTATCGCGAATTTAAATGATTTTAGGGTCTAGATATGATTGTGAGGGTAGTATAGTCTAGCAATTAACTGTGTTTTGAAAATTCTTACTTGGAGTGTTGTGTTTCCTCAGCTGTCTTTGAGGTAGCCAATGTTTTCGAGTTTACGAGTTTGGGAAAAATCTTTCTTGGATATGAAATGAAGAAAATTGGAATTTTAGGTCTAGCTATGGTTGTGAGGGTAGTATAGTCTAGCAGTTAACTGTCTTTTGAAAATTCTTACTTGGAGTGTCGTGTTTCCTCAGCTGACTATAAGGTAGCCAATGTTTTCGAGTTTGCGAGCTTGGGAAAAGTATTAACTTTTATTTACTGTCACACTTCACTCATCACGAATATAAGACAAATTTTTGCATTTTCAATTGCAATCTTTCTTTGATGTAAAGTGAAGAAAAATGGAATTTTGGGTCTAGATATGGTTGTGAGGGTAGTATAATGTAGTAATTTATTGCGAGGAATACAGAAAATTTGTAGGATCTTGCTTATTGACACGAGATGACTGTTAGGTGACTGTTCTTGTGTGACTGATAGAATTGAGTTTTGAGATTGAAAGCGAACAATAGTTTATTGACGAATGGAAAATAGGAAACTGGAGGAAATGATGAATTGTGAGCTGTTTTTGAGAGACTTCTTCTGGATCTGTAGTTGTGAATATAGTTGTCTGTCTCTCAATTTTGAAATCGAATATTTATAACGTGATACCTGGGATCTTGGTCATTGATTAATTGATGTTCAAGTGTTATTATGTTCCGAGTGTTATTTCGAGTAAACATTATTCCAGTTTATTAGCTCATCGAGAGGCAGTAGTTTTGATAGACGCGTCTATACTGTGCGCTTTATGGCACTTCGTGCACTTCCGTTTTCTGTTGGAACCGTCGCTAAACTCGCGAGGCTGAGGCCGTCCGACGTCAGCGGAAACGAAAGGATTTCTACTTGTCAGAACCGCAGAATACCATTTCATTCGCGATATGAGAACAAAAATATTTATTCCATAATTCCATGCAAAATTATACCACGAATATT